CCTCTCTGTCAACGCTCTCTGGTTTCATTTAAAAGAGTCGATCATCAGATATTGTCCAAGATTAACCTTCAGGGTGGATATAGCTTGTTAGCAACCTCGCACCGAGGACCTATCCTTGTCATCATTTACCCAGAARGCTTTGCGCATAAAAAAATAATGGCTCCGTCCGTGTTAAAATATATATTTTTTAAATGTACAAAACTAATTTTTACAGTCTTTATTTTACAGTTAAAATAAATGTTTATCAAATAAAGTTTAATGTTACAACTAATCAGGGATCCCTTTAAAGGTTTTAGCTAGTGCTCCTGTCAGCTGTAACAGATTTAGCTCTTTGTGTTCACTCTGTGTTACACAGATCACGTAAAGCTGTATTAGTATCAAACATAAAAAACATGAATAAAAACTTTTCTAACATCAGGCTCTGTAAAGGTTTTCAGAGCCCAGCAGTAATGAGGGTTTGGTTCCTACAAAACAAACCTAGAACTGGTTTTGGTTGTGGATGCAGTCACCTAGAGAGGCCAGGTCCTGGGTGGTGAAGGACAGGTCCAGGGAGTTGGGTCTCTCTGGTCGGCGAMTTCTGGGCTGCCTGAGCAGAGCCTCTCCTCTCATGATGACCGTAGCCTCCCTCGGGGGGTCCGCTGCAGTGGACCCTGACCCGGCACTGTCTCCCGGGGGTCCCGTAGTTTCCCTGCTCCCTCCCTCGGCGCTGCCCTCCTCCTCTCCGGCGTCGCTCTCGCCCCCACTGCCGCCCTCGCCCTGGCCCTGGCCACGTCCGGTGTTGCTGTTGTTGTTGTTGGTGTTGGGGCGGGCCGAGCGCAGGGCGCTCACGCTCGAGGACCCGTCCCTCACGTCGGGCTGCTCCCGCTCTCGGCTCAGGAGGGGCTCGTGTTCGTCGGGGCTGGCCGTGATCACGCCGAGGCTGAGCCGGCTGTCGTCGGACCTCAGGGCCGRGGATCCGTTCTGAGTCACGCCGCTGCCTCCCGCTGCCATGATGGCGATCCCTCCGCCAATGTGACCGTTGAGGGCTCCGTTGGCGTGCGCCTCGTGCTGAACGGGTATGTTATTGGTGCCCGTGTGTGCCTCGACAGTGTTTGTGCTGGGCACTGCGCCCGTGTTGATCTTCGCCCCCTCCACCTGCCGCAGGTTGGACTTCCCCGAGCGTCCAAACTTGAACCTGAGCGAGGAAGACTCCTTCTTGGCGGGCTTGTTCCTCAGCGGCAGACTGGACGGCCTCTTTGGCAGGTTCTGCTGCTTGGGCAGGGGGAAGATGGCGGCGGGCACCACTGCGGGGGGCTCTGACGTTCCCGAGGCTTCGCTGGCCATCTTGATGAGGGGGTATAGCAGGCTGGAACTGCCGGGGCTCAGCGGGTCCGGGGAGCAGAACTGCTTCTGGGAGTGCTCCATCAGGTTCTCGTCAGAACTCTCCTTCAGGTTCTTGTCCACCTCTTTAGGATCCAGCTTGGTGGTTTCCAGGTCCTCCTGGGTCAGATGCAGGCAGACTGGGACTGTGGCGGTCCCTGTGGGTCCCTCAGACTCAGAGATGATGGTGGTGGTAGTGGTGGAGGCTGACGGGCTGCCTCTCAGGCCCATGCTGGTGCTGCTGCCCTCTGGGCTGGGCAGGCGGGCGTTGGCTTGCTGCTGCCGCTCCTGGTTGATGGAATTCCGGTTCCTCTCTCCGGTTCCGACCCCAGCTCTGCCTGTTGTGGAGTTGCTGGAGTCCACCTGCATGTTTTTAGCTACACCTTCATGCTCCTCAATGTAGGTCGAGGGGTGGTCTGTGTAGGGACCAGACTTTGGGGTCATACGATTCCTGTAACAACAAAACAAAACAATCAGAAACAGAAGAAGGTAAAATTCGACTCCCACCCTGACGGAGGGGCTTCACCTCTCATTGTGCAGCGTAGTGGACATGGGGTTGAGGGTTGGACTGACGGACTTGGAGCGGTCCCATATGAGCAGCAGCTCGGCGAGTCGTTCTTCAGCGCACTGGGCTGTGAGGCGAGCCTCTGCGTCCTGGTCCCAACAGTCCTCCATGGTCTCTTTGAGGGAGCGGACCGCCTGGAAGGAACGGTTTAAACATGAGYCGTCGATAAGAGCGAGGCAGAACGTTAAAACATTTATAACTAACTTTTAGAGTGGAAGTTCTTTTACAGAGAAGCTTAGCAAATAAACAAAACAGCTAACTGTCAAAGCGCTAACAAAAAAAAAAATTAATTAGCATCACAAATGCTAAACCACTAAACAGGAAAGAAATTAGAGGAAGATAACACTAGCCGCTAACTCAAGATCTGTCATTTTAACAGACGTAGCATAATACACAAAGCTAACAGCTAATAGCAATGCTAACTTTTCATTTAACAGATTAGCGTTTTTGCTAACTTTGGAACCTTAGCAGACCAATTAGCTTTCGCTAAATTTAGTTCTGCTAACCTAAAGTCCACTAACAACTTTCCCCTCACACATGCAGTGCTGCACGCCTGCATCAAGCACCTTGTGTGTGCATGTAGCATCCTTAGCATTTTGTGTGTTTGCCTGTGTTAATCTCTAAAATGGCAGCTGTTGAGTTAGCTATTATCAGTTAGCCTTAGCTAATTTTACCAGTTTAGTGGTTTAGCATTTGCAAAGCTAATATTCTAGTGGATTAGCGGTTAGAGAAACTAATTTTTTTAGTTAGCTGTGCCCACTGAGTACAGTAGATACTGATCAAAGWGTTGAACCATCCTAATGATAAAAATCTGTTTCTTCAGAAAACAAAGGAAATGCTTAAATTGGATTTTAGTTAGGACACGATAACAGTGGCTCTGCCCTCCACACCCACACACACCAGACTGTTCTCCTTCCAGGCCTCAGGGAATTTGGGTCGTTGCTTCTCTCTGGACACCAGGACCTGCATGTCCTCAAACGTCGGGTGGTTCCCTGCCTCTGCCTGAAAGGCCATCTGGTACTCTGGCACAGATTCTCCTAGAGGCAGCAGGAAAACACAGGAGGTCCTTTAGAAATACGCCACAGTCACCAGGGTTGGTTTGTTTGTACTGTATATCCATATGTCTAAGGATTTTAGAGTCTCATAACAGGGCTTTTGCTGATAACAGCAAAGGTTTAGCTGAATATTTGCTTATTATCTTAGGATAGTGGGTTTGTTGTGTTCAATGTGTTTTGTTTATTTTTGTTAAAGTTTTCAATAGGGCTTGAAAAAAAGATTTTTGTTTGTCCCTAATCAAACAAACCTAATTTTTGAGACCCCTTCCTCTGTCTGGGATTTAGGGAATGGGACTTTTTTTTTAAGAGTTGGGTTCAGAAGACCTAAACTGCCTTGGGGGCTCGTCCGGGATTTGTATCTCTCCTAGATTATAACAAAATGAATGAATGAATGAATGAAACAATTCCCCACACCAACTCACCAGGGAAAAGGTCGGTACATCTCATGAAGATCTCCCAGTAGACCAGGCCCAGGGCGTACATGTCCACCTGCTTCAGCGCAGATTCACAGTCCCTCAGGTTCACTGCACCTTCCAGCACCTCTGGAGCCATGTAACGAACTGTCCCCACCTGACAGAAGACAGGAAGAAGAATTTAACCATATGAGAGGAAACAAGCAAGAAACACTCAGAGGGCTGTGTACAGAGATAGTAAAGGTAATTGTAGCACTCCACAGTGAAGACAAAAGCTGAACCATACGGATACGGCCTAAAATGTGACAATTTATGGTCTTTATTCTATCAAACATCAACACTGGCCTCTGAGACTGAAATCACCGTCAAGTTGAATATTGGACCAAGGTCACTGATACAGGCTCTGTGTTTCTGTGTAGACAAGGTACTATCAACTTTGAAGTGACAGTTTGTCAAATAGTACCTTTAACTGTTTTTCTTTGTGCAGGCTAGGCTAATGGCTAGCCAAACGAGTACCAGACTTTTTTATTATTATATTAAACAAAATGAAAGGGTAGTTGTTTGTCACAGRTTTCTAAACTCAACAATATCTATTTGACTACACCAGCATATGTGTGCAGATGGAGCTGAAGCTGCTGAATGTATCACTCCACCAAGAGTTGAGTCAACCTGTGGACCGACTGGATGATCAGGTGGAGGGATACATTCAGCAGGCTCAGCACCAGTGGTGGGCACAGCTAAACAAAACATAAGCTTCTCAAACTCATTTTCAGATACTAAAAATGTCAGCTAATCGCTAAACACTAAGTTGACTACCACTCAATGTCATACATCTTCATCATTTTCAGCTGAAGACTGGTGGGTCTGACACAAACCTGTTGATGTTAGCTTGTTAGTTAGCCATTAGAGACTTAAGTTTGCCAATATTTAATTTAGCTGAAGCTAATTGTTCCACTAACTGTTTTCAAAAACAGTAAATTAGTTCCACTATTAGCTGATTAGTGGAAACATGCCCACCACTGCATAACAACAATAGGATATACATAGTATATCGTATTGTAGTATATACATAGTATATTGTACAAGAAAATTATTTTATGGGAAGTAAAATTAAGAGTTTCATTATAAGCAACATGCTCCATTAATACAAGTGTATTCAGGAGTGAAAGAAATCGCCACCTCTCACCTCACTTATAGCAGCGTTTTCCTCCTCTCCGTGACGCGTCGGCCTGTTCCCCGTCAGCTTCATGGACAGACCGAAATCAATGACTACGCACGTGCCATCAGGCTTGACGAGAACGTTGCGGCTGTTCAGGTCTCTGTGGGAAACTGCAGGCTTGTACAGATCTTAAAAAAAGGGAAATGATCATGTTATTTAAAGTGATCTCAAACTACTGTCACATGTTGGTCTTAATATGTCATTTCTCTGCTCTACTTAAACATGTTGTTTGTGACACATGAAAACTCCTAAACTCTTAAATTTGTACATGTTACATTTTTCATGATACACATCACCAATTTGTACTGATGCAATGCATTCTGGGGGTGATGATGATGGTAGCAGTTGGAACTAAAGCACAAAGAGTCGAGGCTAAAAGCTTTAATGTGTGAAAATAAAAGTTATATTTAGTTTTATTTTCTATGTTCTGCACAATATATAGGTTGAAACAATCAAACGTGATGTTTAGTAAATTAGCTTTGAAGTGAACACTATTACTAATAAATATGTGGCGTTAGCTCCTGAGCTAATATTATTTACCCAGAATGCTTTGTGACATAAACAACATGGGGTTGTCCATGTGACAATATAATTAGTATATCAAATTAAAAAAAACTAAACAGCTACAGTATTTTTACTGTCTGTTTTTTTATTTGAAGTGTTTATTAAATAAAGTCTAAAGTTGCAACTAGTCAGAGTTCCCTTTAAAATATTTGAACAGCAATCCCTTTTGTAAAGCCTTTTACTTGTTTAGTACTGTCAGTAAATAATCAATCTAGCCTCCAACAAGGATTCAACTCATACATGAATAGTTGAGCTCCCTCTCTGACCAGCAGGGGGCGCAGCGAGGCAGCTGGAAGTTGTGACAAACACCACAGCCTCTGCTGTGCGGCGGAGTGGGGGGAGGATGACAACTGGACCAAAACCCAAGAGGTTCGGCTGTTAGCAGCTCCACGCACAGCCCATCACTTCAGCTTCCTCCTTCCTGTCCCTGTGGGACCAACACCCTCTCTTACAGCAGCTAAAAAGGTTGATTTTAGCCGTCACGTCTTAGGATTTAGTGGCCAAAGATTCTCGGTGACACTCACCTTTTATTTACTCTCCCAGCTCGCCTCTTTTACTCTGCGAGGCCTGAGGGAAGTCTATAAATACTTCTGGCAAGGGCGTGCACGCAGTGTGTAGTCACAGTGTTTTGTCAAAACACAGGCGTACAAACTCTACGAGACAATCGGACACGAGCCGAGCTGCAGCACACAGTAGTCACAAAGAGTAGGAAGACTCAGATCCTCTTTAACTGGTTAATATTTTATATTTTTAGGTATGTCGAGTTATAATATGAGACAAAACCACTTGGTTTTATTTGACAAAAAGTAAGGCTGTGGGGAAAATCAGTTCTGCTTTCACAGGAAGTAAGTGCTTAAGAAGCAGCCAGGTAACTGACTGACCATCTCTCTAGAAAACCAGGATTTTTCTCATCAGCAATGACTTGAAGCTTGTTTTTGTCTGGGCTGTGCCTGTAAACACCCTATGTAGTGAGAAATTACAGGAACTTTCAATTGGAATCACTGAATTAGTACATTATACCAATGAGACTCGGGTGCACCACAGGGGTGTGTGCTCAGTCCTGCCTTATACTGTATAAAAGATGTTGAATAATTCACTTAACTTGTTTTTCTAAAACATAAATAAGTAAAAATTACTTTTAGAACTCCTCTGCAGCGCTCTACAGTTCTTCAGGAAAACAACAATGAGTTAAATTAAATTTTTTTGACYAGCAAACTAGTAACATTATACTGTATAAGAACTGAAGTAGGCTTTTTATTCTTTGAGGAGGTGCAGTGATGGATCCTAAACAATTTTATCTACCACTAGGTGCAATGGAGGAGCCAGGGAGTGGACAGTGGTGGTCTTGCTTACCATAGATTAATCTTTGTCCACCATAATCAGATGAGGAAACTATGCTTCTTAAGAATTTCTTTTGTGGCAACTAGTGCTGTATCAAACGATTATTTTCTAATCGATTAATCTAACGATTATTTTTTCGATTAATCAATTAATCTAACAACAAATCTATAAGTTATTCTGATGTGAGTGCACTGGAAATTTAAAATGTTTTCATCTAATTTGATGAAAACATTTTACAAGAACAGTTCTTTAATATTGTAATATTTTCTTTTAATAGTTTTTTCATGGACACAAAATATGCACTCTAGAGCAGTG